CTCTCCAAAAAAAAAAAAAAAAAAGTCCCTGATGCCGGGACCAGCAGTTAGTGTAATGGCTACATTGCTGGAATCCCATGTAGTTGACCACGGTTCACGTCCTGGACCCGGTGACTTAAAACTCACGCTGAGCGCGTGTGCATACGTGCCCAAGAGGAGGATGGAGGAGAAGGGATTGCGGTGTGGCCATCCCTGCTGGGGGGTGATTTCTCACTTTCTGTCTCTCTGTCTCTCTCTGTCTGGCGAGAGCACCTGCCCTATAGCAAAAATCCTCTCAAAAAAAAAAAAAAAAGTCCCTGATGCCCAGTGAGCACTGAAAGAAATTAGCTATTATTATTCCACTTTGAAATCCATTCTAAGTTGAGGCTTTACCAATATGCTTTGCATAGAAGCCAGATCATCAATTTGTAAATATAAGTACTTGAAGTGATTAAACAAAAATGAAGGAGGAAATTCAGTTGATTCCAGTGCTCAAATTCTCCATTTATAAACTGGCAATGTAGGAATTTGGACGGACATTTTCAGAAGAAAATTGTTCAAGCTACATGGAGCACTTGCATTTTGCTAAGCACTTTAGTATTGCAAGTGATCATGTAGTCCAATTATTTCATTTTAAAATGAAGAGATTAGAACTTTCCATGGTAAATATCTTGCCCAAAGTCAAATACCCAAGAAGTAGCAAAATTATTACCTAAAACTCATGTCCGTACTTTCAGCAATTAACACTATTTTGCTCTAACACATTAATATCCTACTGATCTAAATCAATGATTCTCAACTGATTTTTAATTTATCTGAGGAAAGGTGGGCGGAGGTATTTTTTAAAGGCTCCCTAAGTGATTTTAGTATACAACCAGATTCATGTAACAATGGTCTAAATCAATGCAGTACCTATTTAAAATCATGGACCAACATAAAGAGAAGATTTAGGTCTTTCAGAGATTGCTTTCTCGTCAATACAACTGAATGGCTAAGGTTATACCCTCTTTTTCATACTCTAGTCCAATTCTTCTCTTAAAATTCTCTTCTCTGTTGACTTGTAAAATCTCCTGGGACCAGCAGGTAATGAAATGGTTAAGTTGCTGGACTCCCATATAACCGACCACAGGACTTCAAATTCAACCTGGCCACATGTTCATGTGTGCCCAAGATGCCAAAAGGATAATAGAGGAGAAGGGGTTGTGGCGTGGCCATCACTCTTAGGGGTGATTTCTCACTTTCTGTTACTCTGTCTGTCCCTATCTCTCTGGCGAGCATAAGTGCCCTATAACAACAACAATAACAACAAATCTCTCAAAAAAATAAAATAAAATCTCCTAATTACTTTTCTACCCACTTCCCAGGCTATCCCTTCTCATTCTCATTTGCAGACTTTTCTTCTACCTGCTTTTTTAAATGTTGCTTTGTAGAAAGTCCTTTTATTTCTTCTGGCACTTTCTCCGAGACATCTACACTGGAGTTAGAGCTCTTGTGAATGCCTGCTTATATCTCTGAAATCTATTATATGTTACCATCATATCCAACTTCGTGTGCCTCTATGATTGGTACATTTATTATTCTCCTCCTCAGTTCTCTTCCCAACCTGCCTGTTTGGTTTTGGGTCTGTTACAATCATAACTGGCCAAATAGTGCACTGTTATATCCAGTAGTAGATTTTAAGGCTATCCAGGATTGTGAACCCAGCCGGATGCTCACACTGGAAGAGCACAAATCTAAATATTCTTATTCCCAGATTTTCAGAAGCCCACATAGTTTATCCAGTTGCAAAAGTTGGAAACACAATCATATTGACTCTTATTCATCCCTTCCCATAGAATTATGAGAGAAAATAATGGTAAATGGTAAAAGCCTTATGAAAACAGGTTTCTGATTTTGTTCAACACTTTCCAATAACATTTGTGATGCTTAGGAGGTAATTAATAAATACTTATAATCAATGATTTGAGATTTAATATATTTTTTCTGTTTGATTTGAATCAAAGTTCCAGCTGTTCTAATTAAGATATTTTTATTTTTTATTAAGAGATATTTTTGCCATAGAGAGCATATACTTACCAGAGAGACAGAGAAAGAAAGTTAAAAATCACCCCCCAGGTGTGATGGCCACACTGCAGTCCCTTTTCCTTCATTCTCCTCTTGGAATTTTGGGTACACGTCCACTCATGCCTAGTATGAGTTTAAAACCACCAGGTCCAGGATTTGAACCAAGGTCAACCATGTGGAAATTCAGTGCCTTAACCACTACAACACCTGCTGGCCCAATGAGATACTTCTTTGATAGCAAAATTAAAGAAAAATAAATTTTACAAATACATAAATGTAGCATTTACTAAGTAGTTACTATATGCAAGATACTTTTGATAGAAATACCTATATGGTAAAATGTGTTGACTCCCAGAACTGTTTTCAGATACAAAATTGAAACATACTTCCATTAAGCAAGTCTCTCATTTACACTACCTATAAATGGTAGAGCTATGACCTGAAGTTATGCCTTCCTGAATTCATAACTTGGAGTCTAGGTCACCAAAAAGGAGGGAATAGGTCCTTTTTTCCTTCATTTATTCACCTGTATACACAATCATCAGAATCAATCTTTGAAAATCAGAAGCCTTACCAGGCTTAGCCCCTTGATAGAGGTCTTGTCACATACCTAGGTCTTCCCGGTACTTAGCAGTCCACCTAGTCCATGGAAGAGAATCAGTACTGGGTAGAAATAAGAATAGAGAAGGACAGAAATGAGGGGAGAGGTAGAATTGAACACATCCTGATGCTTGGCTTCTGGAGTTATAACCATTTGTAGAAGTAGAATCAAAATGATGAGGGACCAGCAGATGGTGGAATGGCTATGTTGCTGAACTCCCACATAGTTGACCACAGTTTGAGTCCTGGATCTGTTGACTTAAAACTCACATACCAGGCATGTGTGCATGAGTGCCCAAGATCCTGAAAGGAGAATGGAGTAGAAGAGACTTTGGTGTGACCATCCCACCAGGGAGTGGCTTCTTGCTTTCTATCTCTCTGTCTCTCTCTGTCTCTCCAGTGAGTACACACACACCCTATAACAAAAATCTCAAAAGAAAAAAAAAAGAATAATGAGATGTTTGATGTTATGATTTATGTGTATTAGATAAACGTGATTCCAGTGTAGTTGGGCCTAGGCTGTTTAACAACCCCAAAAGATCTTACAACCTATGATAGGATATAATACTTTATTACTTAGCCACACATGTGGATAAGAGATAAATACAAAGTAGAAAAAGAAAGAGAAAAAGGATAGAGAATGACAGACTTGGATATAGATAAATAGGTATACAGGTGGAGAAAGATAGTGAGAAAACCATGAGTTTTTTCCAATCTGTGTTGTTATATGGGAATCTAACTGGTAATATTTAAATAATGGGTTTAATTTCCCTCAAATATTCCAAATTTACACATTCACATGAAGACACGTGCTATTCCTAAGGCCATTTGTTAGAGATTATTAAATTTTGTATCTCCTGCTTCAATTCAGTTCATCTCATTCTCAAATTCAAGAAAAATAGAAAAGGTAAGCTCCCCCACAAATATTAGGAAATTAGTCAAATATAATTTAGAAGATCAGAACCTGATGCTGGGATTACCCTTAACCTATGGTATGACAAATACGTTGCCGCTACTTGAGTCCAGAACTATCATTTTCAAGTGCTTGAGTGAATCATTTTTATGTAACTAGAAGTACAATGAAGGCAAATACTGTTTTGTTTTTGTTTTTGTTTTTTTTGTTTTTTTTTTTAGAGAGAGAGAGATTTTTGCTATAGGACATGTTTGCTCACTGGAGAGAAAGAGATGCAGAGAGGCAGAGAGGCAGAAAGCAAGAAATCAACCCCTAGGGAGGATGGCCATGTGCAATCCTTCTCCATTCTCTTCTCAGGATCTTGGGCACATACGCACATGTGCCTGGCATGAGATATAAGCTACTGGGTCTAGGACTCGAGCCATGGTCAACAATGTGGGAGTCCAGCAATGTAACCACTATGTCATCTGCTTGTCCCAAAGGCAAATACTTTATTTTCATGTGATCAATGAAGATTAGTAATAATGTAACTGACCTGGGACATGTGCACAATTCTCCAAACTTTTAGCTTCATCATGCCTCCCAACAGTCCATGAAAACTTTAATGATTTCATTAAATGTCTTGAATGTAGAACTTATGTGCTTACAGGCTAGAAGATTTCATCTAATAAGTAAATTTTAATGCCTATTATATAAAGACTATTTTATTAATTTTTTTGAGGAATCAAAAATAATGTAAGATTTGGCTCCTGGACTAAGGGAACATTTTTATGCTTTTGAGGAGATAAGACATGCACATAATAAAAGCTTTAAAAAAATATATTACCAGTACCAGAGGCTGCTTTTCAATAGCTGGGTTTCTCTAGGAACAATAATGAAAACTGACTCAGAGAAAACAAGATTTTATTGATGCTGGTTGTGAGCACTGAGTTATAAATGAATGGGCACCCATGAGTTGGAAACAACGCCTTTATCCAATGATATTTAATAATTCCTTTTGAATTATGGCCTTCTAATTTTAATATTTGCTAAGAAAAAAAAGAGTCAAACAGCCTTTTTAAGTTTTATGAAATTTTTTTATCTTGGTTAAGTCTTTTATCTTTTCCTGAGCTTTCAGCATCTGAAGATTCATATTCCCAGCCTTGACATTGCAATAAATGCTAAAGAATGTACAGATCCCACATATCTATTTAAACAGTCAATCCTGACCTTGTTTGATCACAGATATCATCCGGGGTACAGTTTACTGGCATTACCTTTAGCCTACAGTATTGTGAATCTATTGCCGTGTAACAATACTACCACAAATTTAACTGCGTAAAGTACCATAAATTTATTATCTCAGTTTCTGTGGGTCTAGAATCAACACAACTTAGCTTAAGACTGTTTAAAATCTCTTCTAAGGCTGCAAATCAAGATACAAGGCCTGGCTGAGGCCTCCCCTCTGGGGAAATATTTGCTTCTAAACTGTGGTTGTTGGCAGGATTCAATGCTTTACTGACTATTGGCCAGAAACTACTCTCGGTGTCCTGCCACCCAGTGACTCCCTTCAGCTGTTAATTGCATCAAATGGAACAGAAAAGGGAGTCTCTAGAGTCTGTTAACAAGACAGGACATGATCTTACGTAACATAATTGTGGAGGTGCTATTTCCATCATGTTTATTGTATTCTTTTGATTAGAAGCAAGATCTAGGCCCCATCTATACCCATATAGAAAGAACTATGCAAAGTTGTGACTCCCAGAGGATGGGGATAATTGGGATCATCAAAGACTATTCATCATATCACCTCAATTAAAATTTCCTAAAGGTCTTAGACGCAATATTTTATCATTTATACCTACCCTCCCAGCAAGTCTTATGATTAAACAGGTTTGGAAAACACCAAACTAGGGGAATGGTGAAAGCCAATGGAAAACAGATTCAAGTTTTCAACATTGGTCAGAGTATAAGAGAAATAAGCTTTTGGATGTTAGAATTTGTAATATTGCTAATTCTTTAGATTTACAAGGGAGAAATGTCTAGTTCAGAGTCCAGAATGAGTCCCCCAAGCCCAAGCATAGCTCTACAAAATACTATAGGATTAAGAAATGAGGGATACAGAATCATAAATGCTCTTACACGTATTTATTGATGTGTGTTAGAAAGTTTTCAGAATGGAGATCTCCTGATGCAGAAAGGTTTTATAGGACAGATATTACTTAAATTAAACCCTGCTAGATGGGTAGGATTTGATAGAGAAAGTGAGAAAAGGTAGAATGACATGAGAATAAAAGGGAAGGAAAAGTAGGCAAGGTGTGAGAATTGTCTTCCTGTAGTGAGGTTTATGCTCAGATGCAGAGTGCATTTTTGTTTTGGAAGGGAAGTGGTTCTGAGCCAGGTGACACTGTGACATGAACATGATAAAGTTCCACATGGGAGGATCCCCAATCCAGATGAAACTAGAGGAACTCAAAAGAAAAGAAGAAATGAACAAAAGGAAAACAATTGGTTTTTAAAAAGATGTCTTATCCAGAATGTATTTGGTACAAAATAGGCCGAGGGACCTTTATGATCTATGTGACGTCAATATTGCAAAATTGCAGCAGAAATGAAGATCAGCACTGGGTTCATGTGGTGTAGACACCTATGATAAGCCCCTTTACAGTTTCGTTGGACATATAATATTAAAATTCTTTTATTTAAAGAATTATTTATTATTATTATTATTTTAATTTGCTATAGGGCATGTGCACTCACCCGAGAGAGAGAGAGAGAGAGAGAGACTAAAAGAAAGAGAGAGAGAAAGTAAGAAAGAAGCCACCAGGTCTGAGATTTCAATTGTGGTCAGCCATGTGGGAGTTCAGCGCCCCAATCACCACACTACCTGCTGGCTTCAATATTAAAATTCTTAATGAAGCTTTTAAATAAAAGCTAGTTCACTAATTGGCTAAGTATGATGTTAGAATATAAATGTTTTACAGAATATCTGGTTGTGTTTGAATGCATATTAGACGATCATAACTGACTCCGGCCCTAGCAAGTAGTATTCACCAACACAAAGAATAAATAGTACTGTCAAGTGATGGGTTGTTAATATTTGAAATACTACTAGAACACTCACAATTATCCTACAACACTTACTTATTTGCCTAGCTGGGCCAGACTAGGAGAACTAACATTGGATTTGTAATATGGTGGTGGATGATGATACCATCCCAGCCCTCCTACCAGCTGCTTTCGGTCACCCTCCACTTCCTCATCTGTGCAAGGAGAGCACCGCTTCCCCACCAGCCTCCCAGAGTTATTACAATAATCAAACATGAGCATTTATTTTTATAACACTTTAAACATGTACAATATTTTATATCTTCCGTTTTTTTTCCGATCCATTTATACCATTTAAGCACACGCCAAACTAAACATTGCTTATTGTCATTATTGGACTACAGTGAAAATTATACAGACTTGTTACCTCTGTTTCACATTTTTCATCATACTTATGTATTAAAGCAAACCAATAATCAGGATTTATAGGTAGCAGAAAGCAAGCACTTTAAAATGTGGCAGACATTTTTTATTTCTAACAGCCTATTCCATTTTTCTGGGCTGTACATCGAGGCAATTATTTATCTAATCATTGCAGCACGAAGAAAAGCATTACTTGCAAAACCGAATGCTGTGGTTTACAGTTTATGAACATACAGAGTCATTGCGAATTATGTCTGGGAACAGGGGCTGAGGGAAGCAGAACTACGGCATGCCGTCCGTACACTCAACAAAGTTGCATTTCTCTATTTATGCAGCATACATCTTATTTTATACCTTGGACAAGAATATCCCAATTGATGACTGGATTATGGAAACCATCAGTGGCGATCGGCTAACTCATCAAATCATGGATCTCAACCTCGACACTATGTATTACTTTCGAATTCAAGCAAGAAATGCGAAAGGAGTGGGGCCCCTCTCGGATCCCATCCTCTTCAGGACTTTGAAAGGTTTGAATGATTTCCTGTTATGCCTTACTTACCCTGTGGGATTGTTACAAACAGCGTTGTAGTCTGTGTTACCCAATGCCGTCACCAGCTCTGCTGGCAACGTGGCAGCAGTGGACATTCCAAATAAATTAAAACGTACCTTTTTATGTGCCTAGCCAACATGTCAAAAAAAGACTTAGTGTATTATCACATTTTCTCCCATCAGCACAAGGCAGACATATTTAACTTGACTTCTTTTCATTTACAATCCTTTTGGACTTCTGTATTGACTTCATGTATATTGGTTCTATTCAAAATATAATGAAACCCTTCAGCCGTTTTATGTAAGGGAATAAAAATTAAAATACATTGAATTGTGTGACTAGCCTACTGTTGCCTACTTTAAGTATTTTCTTTCAGGTATTATTATACTTATATATTATTGAAAGGTTTGAAAGGGCAAGACAGAAGATTTCAAATAAAATGAATGTTTTGAAGGCTAAAGCAGCAACAAAAAAATTTGCAATGTGGCTACTAGAAGAAAACTCCACATAGCTAAAAGAATATAGATAGACTACAGATAGCCACTCAATTTAAAGACGTTCATGCAGAAAAACACTAAGCCCCAAAAACAGTGATTACATAAAAATACTTTTCATATAGGCCTTTACTGTTTTAGATCACTATATTGTTTCTCTGGAGAACAAATGGGTTTTTTTTTGGAGAAGTTTTTGCTGTAGGGCATGTGCACTTGCCAGACAGACAGAGAGAGACAGAGAGACAGAAAGTGAGAAATCACCCCCCGGGGGGGTGGGCACGCCTCAATCTCTTCTCCTCCATTCTCCTCTCGGGATCTTGGGCACGCACACACACGCACCCGGCGTGAGTCTTAAGCCACTGGGTCCAGGACACGAACCGCGGTCGACTATGTGGGAGTCCAGTGACATAGCCGTTATGCCAATTGCTGATCCCTGGAGAACAAATGGTTTTAAGAGTCTCTCCCATTTAACAATTGAAAACAATTTTAATGCTCCAGAACTAGTATTTAAGGAAGTATATATAAGACATGATATGTTTTGGTCTAAATAACAGTAGCTTGGCTCTTTATCTATGATTATGGGGCTAGCAGGTGGTGTGGGGATTAAAGCAGCTAGATCCCTCATGGCTAACTTCATAGTTCTAGTTCCAGACCTGGTGGCTTGAAAAATCACATCAGGTGTATATATATGCATGCCTAAATTCCTGAGAGGAGAATGGAGAAAGAATTGTGGCATGATTGTCCCACCTGGAATACACTTCTCCTCTTTTTCTGTCTTCCACAAGCACACACAAACTATAGCAATTAAAAAAGAATTGTGACTATGTTATGCATACATACGGCAGAAAACTTGATAACACAGAGCCAGCAGATGGCATGATGGTTACACCACTCGACTCCCACATGGCAAACCACATTTGGAGTCCCAGATCCAGTGGCTTGAAATTCATGCCACGCACATGTGTGTATGTGCCCAAGATCCCAGGAGGAGAATGAAGAAGGGATTGCAGCATGGCCATTCCCCCTTGGGGTGATTTCTCACTTTCTCTCTCACTGTCTCTGTCTCTCTCCTTGTCCTGTGAGTGTCGCTTCAATGACGACGCTGACAAGGTCTTCTCCAGAATGCTTTATTACCCCAGGCTTCTTACAATCTTAGTCTTCCTCCTCCTCTTCCCCAGCCCAACTGGGCTCCCTATATATCCGTCCCGCAAACCAGTCCTCTTTTGCCACCAGGCAAGCACTGATAGGCTGAGGCAGTGCCTTACGCGTTCCGGAACAGGAACAATAACCAAATATGGGCTTGTTTATGTAGAGGTCTGGGTGCTCTCGGCGCCATGTTAGGGCGGGGTAGCTCCACATGTGAGTGCACATGCCCTAGGGCAAAAACCTCTGGAAGGGGAAAATGTGAAAACACATGATGGCAAACAAGAACTTAGAAATAAGTAGGTGACCGACATTTTCTTCTAGTTATTTGATGTACTAAGAGTCTTAGAATAACTATGTAGTCTATTTCCCGTTTTTGCTAGGAAAGTTACCCCAATGAAGAACAGACTTTTGAATTCTGATGAGAGGGCTATTCAAAAGCTGGATTTTGATAACAGCTAATCTGAAAGTTTGCAAGAAAAACAAACAAGCATTCAGCCTTAGCCTGCATTGACAAGTTCTTAATGACAGAATAGAAGTTAGAAAGGTAATGGAGAAAAAATGAGCTAATCTTTATCTATCCAAGTTTTGAGAACTCCAGGTCTAAATCAGGTTTCACTCCAAATGAGCAATTGAAGGCAACTGGTTATTCATTCTGTGGGAGCATGAAATATAGCTAGATAATGTTTTGCAAGTGCTTCATCTTTATCTGTAGACAAGTGCCAAATTAATTTCATGCTCACAATGTGTGCCATCTAAGAGGTCTCAGGGAGGGTTTAAAATGACTTAAACATCCAAGTGCATTAAACAGCAGAGTGATGAGTTGTCATAGGATTTACACTCCTACATTGAAAACCATCATGTAGATTATTTAATGAGCTCAATATTCAGTATTGCTAACCCTAATTTCTATAAACTCATCTATGAAATGATTTTTCAAAGCTGAGAAAAAAATCAAGAATATGCCCAAAAGGTTATTTCTTTTCTTTTTTTTCTTCCTTTCTTTTTTTTTTTTTTTTTTTTAGTTAGTTAGTTATTTGTATTTTCCATGAGTAGGTGAGCAAGAGACAGAGAAAAAACTTGAGGCAGCCCCAGTAGAGTCAGAGTCTTTAGGCTGAGATCCACCCTAAACCTTAGCCATGGATCACAGGCAGGCCTGTACCTGGCGTGCATAGGGAGGCACAAAACATGAACTGGGTACTTTCTCACATGGGTGGGTCCAGCATTGCAAATCAGTTACCACCATACCACCAGCTGTCCTTAAGACTTATTCCTAATATCCTGATTTATTGTCTAATATTGTCTGACCTAAATATGTCATGTCAATAATGGTCAATTTGATTTTTAAACAAATACTGCCCACATGGTAAAATAAGTCTCAAATAGTATGGGTGCATACCAAATAACAAAGCATTTATATTTCCCACCTTTATCAATAATCGGCATTATACATGCATATATCTTACCTGTCACTTATAGTGACAAATATTCTAAGACAAATGAAGTACTCATCATAAGAGATTTAAAGCCACCGTGAACCAGAACTACACCAAAGTTATAAAATCATGTTATTGCTCTCTGATTTAAGTCTTTCAATTCTCGAAGCTGCTTCAAAACATAAGTCCTCTCTGTTCATCAGAATGTAACTTTGTCTGACACAGAGAAAGGCTTAAATGTTGTACTGAAGCTGAGGAAACTGCCAGTAGTCTACTGGGTAATGGGTGAGTGTTTCATTGCAAATCTTGCCCCAGGCAGATGCCTATAAGCTTCTTTCATATAGTCAATCTTTACAAAGATAATAACATTTTTTACTAGAGACTGGAGTTTTGTTATTTTGGTACTAGCAACCAGCCAGAGAAAGATACAGAAAACCTGATCACTAACCACTGATTAATTAACAAGACATTTTGGGACCAGCAAATGGCATAATGGCTATGTTGCTGGACTCCCATGTAGTTGACTGTGGTTTCGAATCTCGGACTTGGTGGCTTAAACTCACACAGGGTACGTGTGCATGCGTACCCAAGATCCCGAGAAGGGAATGGAGGAGAAGGGATTGTGGCATGGCCATCCCCCCGGGGTGTGATTTCTCACTTTCTGGCTCTGGCTCTCTCTGTCTTTTTGGCAAGTACATGTGCCCTATACCAAAAAAAAAAAAAAAAATTTAAAAATTAACAAGGCATTTATAATTAGAAAGGGGTTATTTTACTACATACTTATGTACATATGTATATGTGATATATCTAATTCTTTCTTTGCAATGTTAACTAAAAGAATCTTGAACTTGATTCTCTGACCACATAGACTTTGCAAATATCCACCTCCTTTCATAAATCCTCCTCAGGCTCCCATTTGGATAGCCACATACTGTCAAATCATGGGAAGTCATGTCTGTTTCTGCCCTAGTACATGGGTTGTTTCCTCCAATAAAGTAAACTCTCCATGTTGACCTACTAAGCAATAAGGATGAAGGACATATCCAACGAAGGGGATCCTAGAGGATTCTTGTGAAAGGAAGGAATCACCTCCTCCTCAGAGAGTAGCAGAGTCTTCTACTGCGAAAGCCCAACAGAGTGAGGTTAATTCTCTAGTCATCCTCAATAATCATTCTGAAATGTACCCCTCTCCCTTCCAGGAACATAGCACTGAAAGCTCTGTATCAGAATAGAGAAATAGTTTACTTTGCAAGTTATTGTATGACAAAATACGTTATTTTCTTGACAAATGATAGGAATAATTAAAAACTGAAGGTACAAATGGCAATACTTTTAAGCTGTTATTTGTCTTTAATAAAAGAGAATTACTAGAATCCATTTGCAAATGGTTGGAAGACACTTCAGGAGATAACATTTTTGAGACATTCAAAATTTCCCAAGTTACAGTTAGCCTAGCTTTAATAATAGGGGAAAAAAGTTAACAATGAAGGTTCCTGGGACTAGCAGTTAGCGTAATGGCTATGTCGCTGGACTCCCACGTAGTCAACCATGGTTCGCATCCCGGACCCAGTGGCTTAAAACTCACGCCGGATGCCGGATGCATGTGCATGCATGCCCAAGATCCCAAGAGGAGAACGGAGGAGAGGGGATTGCGGCGTGGCCATCCCTCCTGGGGGGTGATTTCTCGCTTTCTGTCTCTCTGTCTCTCTCTGTCTGGCAAGTGCACACGCCCTATAGCAAAAAACCTCTCCAAACAAACAAACAAACAAAAAAAGAATGAAGGTTCCTGGGGTGGGAGGCACAACCTGGGGCATAGTGGTTAAGGCAGCTAGATCCCACGTGGCTGACTGAGTGGTGCAAGTCCCAGACCTGAGAATCATGGTGACTTGAGAAATAGGCTAGGCACATGTGTATGAGTGACCAAAATTCCAAAAGGCAGGAAAGATGGAGAAGAGATTGAGGTATGACAGTTCCACATGAGGGGTGGTGTCTCACTCCCCCACCCTTTAGTCTCTCTTTCTCTCTCTACCAAGCAAACACATACCCTCTGGCAACTTAAAAAAAATGAAGATGGGATTGTCTGTCTGTCTCTCTGTCTCTCTGTCTCTCTGTCTCTCTCTCTCTCTCTCTCTCTCTATATATATATATATATATGTGTGTGTGTGTGTGTTACTTGTTAAAATATCCTAGGTTACAAACAATGCACATGATTAAAGACAATGTGAGATATTAAGAATGGAGCTAGGATGAGTTTTGTTTCTTTTCTTTTTCTGATATTAGTTCAGATAATTCTCCCCCAAATATGAGATGCTGATTAAGAGTGTGTTCTGTTGGGTTGCCAAGTCTGCTGAATCGTGTGTCCAATTATCACCCTGATATATCATCCATTCATATATTATTCAAGAACTGATGTGGTAATTCTGATAATACAGTGTCCTTCCTCAAAAGTTACCTTAGAAGTTCAGTTCAAAATCTTATCCCTGTCCGGGAACCAGCAGTTAGCGTAATGGCTATGTCGCTGGACTCCCACGTAGTCAACCACGGTTCGTGTCCCGGACCCGGTGACTTAAAACTCACGCCGGGCCCGTGTGCATGCGTGCCCAAGATCCCAAGAGGAGAATGGAAGAGAAGGGATTGCGGCGTGACCATCCCCCCTGGGGGGTGATTTCTCGCTTTCTGTCTCTATGTCTCTCTCTGTCTGTCTGGCGAGTGCACGTGCCCTACAGTGAAAATCTCTCAAAAAAAAAAAAAATCCTATCCCTGTCCACAAATTTCATACAATGCAATTGCCTGTCAGAAGCACCTTTTACCAACAACCCTGTAATGCTAGCAATATAATGAAATAAATTTTGGGAAGTCTTTAGTCTTCAATGGGAAATGGAAGAGAAAATCTAGATAAAAATTAAATATGGTGAGTAGATTATACAAGATTGATTAAATGGCCTGGTAGATTAAAAAATGTTTGTCAAATCATAAGGAAGTATAAAAATATTTATAAATCTTATTTAAAGTTTGCAGAAAGAGGTGAATCCTAACCACTAGACCACTTGGAGTTTAAAGATACATAGGTTCTGCAAATAAAATACACAGCACAATTTCTACACATAACAATACTGTATTGTATACTTAGAATTACTAAGAGAGTAGATCATACATTGTATTCTTACAATAATAATAATAAATAAAAGGAGTAGAAGGAACTTTTGGAAGGTGATGGTAGTGATGATTTCATAGGTGTATTTAAGTATTTCAGTTCTGCACATTTTTACTGGACAATAATATGTGTACATTTATTTACAAAGGAAGACCCACTTACCTATAGAGCATCTCCTTTAAGTTATTTTAAAAACAATGGTGATAGGGACCAGCAGGTGGCATGGTAGTTAAAGTGCTGGCCATTCTCACATGGCCGACCATGGTTTGAGTTTCAGACCTGGTGACTAGATTTCTCACTTTCCCTCTCTCCCTTTCTCTCTCTGTGTCTCTCTCTGGTTAAATTAAAATAAATGAGTAAATAAATTAAATAATTAAAATAACAATGACAAAGGATGTATTGTGAGTTTGCACACATGAGGGAACTGACTTTGTTATAGGTTGCTACCTATTACATTTTTCTCCCTGTGAGTTTAACTGGAACATACACAAGTAGCAAACCAGCAAGAGTAGTATCCTTCCTGTCAAGTTCAAATGTGTTTAGGTGAGTTCAATATGTCCAGAAGTAGTAGAGACAATAAAATATATATGAAATAATTCTAACTCACAATTTACAAAGATCTGCATTGATCAAAATATCATATTGGCCAGCTACTAAGGTGCTACAGTAACTCAGTGCTCTGCAAGGCTGGAAGCCATATGGCTGACTAAGGGTTTGGATCCCTGGGTTGCCCTGAAAACAGAATAGGCACATACATGCAGGTGCCCAGGATCATGAGGAGTTAGAATGCTAAGAAGAGTGGATCATGGCTTGATAATCTCTATCAAGGGTGCTTTCCTCACTTCTCTCTCTCTTTCTTGCACACCCATGGGCTATCTATCATTAAAAATATGTATATTAATAATCACAATTTTCAGAAACACAGTAATACTGGAGATTTACCTTCTATTTAGTACATTTAGTTAACAGAAGCCTACATTAAAAAAAAATCTTGAGACATTTTTAAGTTTAAAAAGTGAATTTTGGGGCCAGCAGATAGTGTAGCGGGTTACATGGCTGGACTCCCACATAGCTGACCAAGGTTCAAGTCCCAAACCCAGTGACTTAAAACTCTCGCCAGGTCTGTGTGTGCATACCATAGATCCTGGGAGGAAAAGGGATTGTGTCATGGCCACCCCCTCCACCCGCAGGGTGATTTCTCATTTTCCCTCTCTCTGTCTCTGTCTCTGTCTCTCTCTGGCACATGCCTGTGCCCTAACGCAAAATAAATAAATAAATAATAGCCAGTTTTAAGACCATTAGTCATAACTTACTTGAAGTTATTCATACCTCAAGACTTATCTTCACAAATCTAAAGATTTGTCAGATTATTTAGATTAAAGCATATTTATGGTATCCTATTATTTTACTGTACTCATGTGAGAATTAACTAGATTCCTTTGTTTAAAAAAAAAGAAAAATAAAAAAAGCATACAAGAAAATAGCTTTCTGAACTTACTTCAAATATATATGGATGATAATTACTTGGTAATTGCAGGTTTTTTATACTGACAATTCGAGTTTTAATTAAGCTTATGTGATTATCATTCTGAGTGTATGTTTTGAGGATCGTAACAAATAAGATTTTTTTAGAATGCATTTATACATCAAAAACTTTATTTCTGATTTATTTTTCCTCTGACTACTTATGTAGTAGAATTAATAACATATCTTTGGATCCTTATCAATGTTACTTCAATAGTGTATTGGCCTCGATATGTAACCTTGCTAATAAAACTGTTGATTTGATATGTCAGCTTTCTTGCTAGAAACTGTCAAAGTCTAATAATATTATTTCTTTTTTTCCCCCACAGTGGAACACCCTGACAAAATGGCTAATGACCAAGGTATGGTAGCTCAATCTGTCATTTTTTTCTCCTTGAATCAATCCTAGCTTCTGGAAATGTCAGTCATTACTTTGCATTCCTCTTTTCACCTGGGCCATACACCTGATGAAGCAGACACTGGCGTGAATGATTAATCATGTTAATGAAGTTCTGCTTGGCTGAGGCTGTGGCTCTGATAGGGAAGATGTAAATTTCCTTGAGAGGAAATTGTTTTGTCTCTATTCTAAAGGACCAATTAAAATGTCAAGCTTCTTTGTATGAAATAAATTTTTTGTCTCTGTCTGCACTTCTGAATAATTCACATTAAGTATAATTAAGCTCAGCATAATTTTCAAGCTGCTCTTACACCCTTTCATGAGCTATGGATTAAAGTTTTGTAGCTCTACAGAGAAAAACCATAAATCATGTGTGCTTTTCCCCTACAATGAGCTTCTTTTAATAAATAAAAGCAAAGTTGGATCAACTTTTTTGAAAAATGTTCATTTCAAAGCTGGAAAGCTTTCAGTCTATGAATCAGATGCTTGTCTGACTTCAGAGTATTTTGTCCTCCTTCTGTTCTTTTTCAAAAAAAATGCTGATTGGTATAGAGAAATGGGGATGGTTTTATACAATGGAAAGTGGAGATAAATAAGAGTTATCTATTAACTCATTGTAAATATGAGTTAGCTAGTACCATGATTTGTAGACTGATTGATAAATTAGAATTCCATGATCTTTACACAAAAGACACTTAGTAGAATGCTGAAGAAGAAAAAGAATGGTTTACGAGTTTTATCTTTCCAAGATGTTAGATTTTTTCAAGAGGTAGTATGGAAATGCTTGTAACCGGTTGTAGTCAATGTTGTCAGTGTTTATGGACTCAGAGTCAACACAGCATGTATAGTTTGTCTTCTGTCTTGGATGTCTTATGTCAGAACTTACTTGCAAATATCACATCTCATAAGATGACATGTTATGAGATTGGGAGAATTTAAAGATATTGATTATAACCCCTAATTTATTTATCATCAGTCCTTTTCAGTGTAAAGACAATTAAGCATTTGGATATTGGCTGGCATTACATCAAAAGACTGCTCCCATAAGTGGTATTTTCTTTGATGACTCTGTGTTCATGTTTTCTCTGGGTCTTTTTTTCTTTCTTTTTTTAAAGAGATTTTTGCTATATGATATGTGCACTTGCCAGAGAAACAGAGAGAGTCAGAGAGTAATCCCCTCTCCTCCATACTCTTCTCAGGGCTTTGGGTACACAAGCACACACACCCAGTGTGAGTTTCAAGCCACCAGATATGGGACTCAAACCATTATCAACTACGTGGGAGTCCAGTGACATAACCATTATTCTATCTACTGGTTCCTCTCTGGGTCTTTGTACTGTACTGTACTTGATAGAACACAGCTAGGATTTCCCATGAAGAATAATAGAACAGATAGAGTGCACAGAAAATATCTACCCTGGATTAATACTTCCATTAATTGGTGACAGTAGGTAGTATAGTAATTAAGACACTGAACTCCCACATGGTCAACTGTGGTTCAAGAACCTGACTCAGCAGCTTGAAACTCACATAGGGCACATGCCCAAAATAATGAGAGGAGAACGGAGGAGAAGGAATTGTGGTATAGACATCCCCCATGGGGTGTTATTTCTCACTTTCTGTCTTTCTGTCTCTTCAACTAGTACACATGCCTATAGAAAAAAAAAAAAAAAAAAAACTCTCTCTCAAAAAAAAGTTTCATTAATCTAGGTGCTTTTGCTTAATTCCACTGAAAATATTTAAATAAGATCAATATTTATTAAACAGTAATATTTATAAAAGTATTAATGAGTAATTATCACTTGGCATATATTTACTTTAACAAATCAAATATTAGTGCTAGCCAAGTCCAAACCTGGAATAATTAATTAGTAGTAACTGTTCTATTATTTCAGTTATAAAATAATGATAACCTCTCATAAACCTCTTCACTTAAATGAATTTGGAAGTTGTAGAGACAAATAACACTTAATTTTTGAAATTATATTTACAAACAGTATAAAATAAAAAATTTAAAGAATAACTGAACAGGTTAGAATATTACATTGTTAATCATTTGGGTAAAAACACCTTGGTATATTTGAAATATTTTCATTGTAATTTTGCTGTTATGTTTTTTAAGTTAAGTATTTTGTTTAATATTATTATAAGTAGCCAGCCCCACAGTGTAACACCATACTGAGGGGAACAGATCCCATATGACCAACCAGTGGTTGAGTCCTAGCCCCAGCAGCCAAGGGGTGATAAACAAAACACACACACACACAAACACACACACACACACACACACTGAGTTGTTAGAAAAGTCATGACATATTTTTCTATGCAAAAGTATGTCATGACTTTTCCAACAACCCAGTACATTATAAGCTTCCAGAAATATATTTTGTAAATTGCTCATTTTATAGAAGACAAATGAATAAATTATTCCCCAAACCCTCTAATCATACACCCTCTATGAATTTTACTCTTATTCTTTCACCTACAGTGTTATTAGGTCAGTTACCAGGACAAAAGGAATTCCCAAAAATTATTGCCGGCCACTGAATCTATTAATATATTTGGGTAGTTATTCTTTTGGTTCATCCATATCACTTAGAAAGATTCTGTTCTCTATTATGCTGCCTTATTCACTAAAAGCAGACATATAATTTGACACATTGATGGGGTCTAATTTTTCTTTTTTTTTTTTGAAGAATTTTTGCCATCAGGCATATGCACTCACCAGAGAGAGGCAGAGAGAGAAATTGAGAAATTGTCCCCCTGGGGGTTGATGATGGTCACCACTGCGATTTCTTCTCATCCATTCTCTTATTGGGATTTTGGACATGCGCACACATAGGCCCAGTGTATTTTTCAGGCCTCTGGGTCCAGGCCTTGAACTGTGCAGTTGGCCATGTGAGATCTAGTGCCTTAATCACCACACCTCCTGACTCGATGTGTTCTAAACTTATTTATTTATTTTAATTTGACCAGAGAGAAGCAGAAAGAGAGAGAGAGAGAAAGTGAGAAAGCAAGCTACCAGGTCCGGGACTTGAACCATGGTTGGCCATGTGGGAGTATCCAGCACCTTAACCACCACACTACCTGCTGGTCCCAATGTGTTCTAAACTTTACAGTGAACTAAACTTGCTTATAAAATTGAGCAGGACTGTTGACAAATAATTTAGTGGTCATAAATAATACCTTTGAATTTTTACAATAAAGCATACAGAATTTGCTAGACAGCAAAAGCTCTTTATAAACAAAATCAGTCTTCTGACTTGATGACCAAGTACATGAGAAACAACCCAGATTAAAGATTGTTCTGAGATTTATGAAAGTAATAGGAAATACCTGTTCTGAATGCTTCAACTCCCAGCATCTAGCAAATCAATTAAATATATTTTCTCATGCCCAGCGTTAGACCTGGGTGCCCCTTTCCATGGAGACATGATCCCATTGTCACATTTACAACAGGAGCTGAAATTCGACTGAGACAAAATTCCCTCTGAAAGATAATTTGGCACTTTGGGTCAGAGTTGACTTTGCAAAGATGAATCCTAAATAGAAAAGCAGAAGGTTGAATCTGATTTGGAAGCAAGAAAGTGAGAGAAGTTTTGATTTTTCTGAAAAAGTGTGTTTGTGGATTATTGTCACAATTGCTTTTTCTTGGACACTAAGATCAGTCATGAGGCACATAAATGTGGGCCAGTCAGTGGCATGGAGGTGAAGGTGACTGGGTCCCATGTGACTAACCGCATGGTTGGAGTCCTGGACCTGGGGTCTTGAAAAATGTGTGGACATGTGTGCATCCATGCCCAAAATCCTGAGAGGAGACTGGAGGAAAAGGGAGTGCCGCATGGCTATCCCCACACCTCCCCAAGGTGGGGCGATTTCTCACTTGCCCTCTGTCTCTCCAGCAAATACATGTGCGCTAGGTCAGAAACCTTTAAAAAAAAATAAAACTCTTTATGTAATTGTATTTGATTATAGCTATATTCGCTCAACTCTCTAATTTGAGTCTATTCTCTAGTTCTGCTTTTGTGTATTTCCTCTTTTCTTGCTGAGTGCCCTAATTATTACTGTAGATTCTTTCAGGCAGAAATGGTCAAGAAGTTTGAAAATCACTGTGAGATTATTAGAGATGATTTAATTTTTTTGGAGGGCTGGCTAGAATATGTGAATTGTAGAGGCCACATGAAGTGGGGCCAGAGGATATAAAAAAGTTATGCTTTCAAGTTTCTCTCTTCATTTTCCATGTTTTAATTACAACTCTTTCAATTTGTCATGTCTATGTCTGTGTGGACGTGTGGAATGGTAAAATGAGCTGGATGAAGCTCTTGCCCTCAGCCACTATTCTAAGAGCTTTACAAGATTTATTTCTTTAGAACTCATAACAGCAGTGTGGGAGAAATACTATTATTATGTCCATTCCAGTAATGAAGAAGCCGAAGCTCAGAGAATTTAAGTCACTTGCCTATGAAACACAGCTAGGAAGTGCTAGGCCATGAGTCAAATCCAGGAAACTCTGTTCCAAAAACCCTGTTTTTAACTCACTGAATTTATGATACTTACACGGGACCTTCAGAAAGTTCATGGATGGGCCAGCCAACGAGGTGGTAGTTGAGACACTTGGATCTCACATGGCCAATTGCACAGTTCAATTCTAGGACAAGAGGCTTAAAAAAAACACACTGGGTAAGTGCATGTATGTCCAAAATCCTGACAAGAGAATGGAGGAGAGGATATTGTTGCATGGTCACCCCCTTGCTGAGTTGCCTTCTCAGTTTCTTTCTCTCTTTCCAGAGTGCACACACTCTACAGCAAATTAAAAAAGAAAAAAAAAAGCTCGTGCAAAATGCATATTGTGAAGTTATGCATTCCAAAGAAGAAGTTATCCATTTGAAAATTTTGCACTAAAACGAACTGTACTTTAATTCCAATTTCTGTAAACTTTTTTTTTTTTTTTTGAGAGGTTTTCGC